CTAGCAAATGATCCCTCTGGTATTGGTGCAGTGGGGCCCAACAGATCCCACCAGCTTCTGGAGGCAGCAGCTATGGCTGAGGGGCTAATGGTGCACAGTGAGGAAATATGCTCAGCAATGTGTGATGGAGTGATGGTGACTGAGCCGGCTGATTATTTTTTTATTTGCCTATATTACTTTATGCTGGGGAAGTGTCTCACTCGAGTGATTAGTGGAATCCATCAAAAATGGCTGTCTTTGGAAGTGCCCCAGGCAGCAGCCATCTCAAATTAAGACACTGACATTTGCAATACTAGCAAGAGCCCATTTAGTAAAACACTATCAGGTTCAGTATCATGCCTAAAAGTTGGAGTTTCTCTGCCAGCAACAAACTACTACAGCCACTGAAAGCAGGCTAGGGTTTTGTTTCTGATCTGTCTAATCACAAGTATAGGAATGGTGTGGAGGTCTTCAGACGTGCACACATGTCCCATGGATAAAGGACTGGGATTTCACTATTTTGCCTCTGGTTCAGCTTACTGTCTGACATCAGGAAAGTCACATAACCTCATTTCCCCTCATGTTCAGTAGTGTTTTGAGATTCTACTTGTAGACATGAAGTCTTTCTGTCTTGAGGTAGTAGTGCCCTAGCATTATCAACTTATGTGGTAATGGTAGTATCACTTGGACAGCTGTAGTTTTAAAAAATAATTACGCAAAATCAAGATTTAGAAATATATTGACAGGAATTCTATAGGATAAAAACAGGACCTATGATGTCCTAAACTTTTCCAGAATTGTGATGGCGGTGATAAGATCCTTGAAAATCGGATATGTGCCACTGTAAATATTATCCTGCCCTTTCTGAGATGAGATGCATCCCTCACCATCAGGGCACATTTGCTCAGGATACAGGACATGTCAACAATTGCACAATTTAATGCTACTGAGTTGTGCAGGCAAGCTTTATGTTTACAGAAACTATACGAGGTACTTAACTATTTGACTGTTGTAGCCGTTCTACACTCAAACTATTAATCCCCTCTCCAGATACCACCTCTGGTGCTGCTAAAGGTAATAATCTCATCATCCTTTTAACAACCTACCTGCTTGTCCTGAGAATGCCATTTAACATCATACACTCATTTATCCAGTGTTTTTCCCACAGACTGTCATTTACAATGACAATACAACCAGAACTGCCTCTATACACTTTATATTGTGAAATATCCATTTATTGTAGTTGGTGCAGTTACTCACTGCTAGAACATGCAAGTGGCATGACATAAACAAAACCCCCCACAAAAGCAGACACAGTGAAAGAAAAGAAAACAAAAAGGAGACATTTAAAATAAATGTGGAACAAATACAGTCTAGAGACCTTTCTGGACTGAGCACCAGCTGAAATAATGAATAAAGAAACAATGTCCCATTTCACGTTGATTGTTTTGAGGATAATTTTTTTTTGGTACATTTTACTAAATAAATCTGCTTGTGTGAAAATGAAAACAAAAAACAGGCTCTACACCCAACTGTGTAGCTCTGTGAATCAGCAAATACATTTCATGCTGCTGAGTTTTTTTACCATGTGTTTGTGACACATTAAGATCACATGTATCTATAATTGCTGCAGCTCCACTAACTTATTCAGGCAGAATAAGATGATCATGTGTCTGAGCTGGCAGCCAACGATTTCCTTCTACTGGGCTCATGGAGAGTTTCTGTTCACAAAGGTTTTGTGAAGTGAGGATGTGCCATCCATATACTACTGAAGGGGAACATGTGCCAGGATAGCTCCTAGTAGGATAAGCATGCTGCAACCCAGTTGTTGGGAGAACCAGTAATTCCTACAGAGAGCACAGGAGTCAAAGCTTGGTCAACTGGTAGGAAGGACTTAGGAAAACAAAGAAAGCTGACACTGGGGCCAGCCTTTTATGCAATGGGCATTATGAAACCAAGCACCTGAGCAGCTGGCAAGAGTTTCTGCTGCGTAACTGCCTGGACAAAGCACAAAGGCCAGGCCCTGTTAGCCTGTTTGCAGCTGTTGTAAATCTGATAGTCACCTTTTCCTTAGAAGCAAGCAACTTAACCTATTTTTCTGTATTTAGAGGAACCCCAAGCAGCCTGTATCTTTGAAGTTCTTGAACAGAATACCGTTGTGAAGGAGAAGATGTGGACTCCCTCTGATGTGAGGTAAAATTCAATCCTTACTCTGAAAAGGACACACAGAGATACATAAGCATACAGATTTACCAGTTATATCATCCTTTTGTTCAAAAACCAAGATGTTTTTTGTAGAGACAGGCTCCCATTAACATCCTACTCTTGTAGACCAAGATTTAAGTGCATTTCTAGCTTGGCTCACTGTTTCTCTGATGAAAAAGATGTTGCTTTCTGCAGCAGCATCCTCAATATTTATGTCTCTTTGTAATACGAATAACTTTGTTTAATGGGAGCAGATCTTCTGATTGATTTGCAGTAAGATGTAACTGCAGCTGTACTGAGACTACCTTTGTCAGATGAGCATGTGAAAGATGTGAAGATACATTATTCACAAGTGAGGTTCCTTTATCCTTGTCTGCTGATTCATAATGAAGTCAAAGAAATGCACTGTTTCCCCTTCCTTCAGTATATGAAATAAACCCTTCAGTTTTCATATGCTCTATATGAGGTGCCTGCAAGAACTACCCTATCACTAAACTATCTTTTCAGCGCTGCTGTTTCTTTCCCCATTGTGAGTAAATAAATAAATCCTTGCCTTAACCACAGCACTCCTCTGTTTCTCTTGTTAAACATATTATGACCAGTAACTGTCAGAATGAATATATGTAAATATTAAAATTAAAAAAAATTACCTTATGCATGATTGACACTCATTATGAAAGAGAGGTCTCTGCCACCACTCATAGAAAGCACAGCTACCCTCACAACAGGCAAGACAAATATCACCATAGTGGAAAACTAACTTTGGTGAGCCACAACAGCACCACACCCCTTCAGCTACTTGCTTACACACACTGATGAAGAGCTGCTAACACCATGTTCTCTCACTGTGTCTCAGTTGAACAAGCCTCCAAGAAAAGCATTGTTTTACAAGTCCATGATGTCAATTGACAAGGAGAACAACAGGCTTTCCCGGCTCTGTTATGATATTGGGAAAAGATGGGGAGAAGACTGGAGGTGTGGGAACTGGAACTTGTAGACAGGCTGTCTCCCTTTGCTCTAGGTGACTTTCCCCTCATTCACAGATTGACAGATATTTCGTATAGAAAAACATCACTGCCAACCCTACACTTTAAGAAAAAATGCAAGCACGCAAAATGTCAAGGGCAGAACTGCCATGCTGGGTCAGGAATGGTAGCTCGGGCTCAGCAGAGCCCCTTTCATCAGCATCTTCCCTTCCAGAGGTGGGTCTGGGAAGCAGTACTGCTGCCTTGACATTTTTGGCAGCCCTTGCCTTGCTGGTGCCACCTCCAATCAGCAGCCTCCCCAAGCTCTTAAGAGTCATGCAGAGCAGAAAACAGTCAAAAGCCCACCAAAACCAGACAAAACCCATGGAAACCAGGCACTGCAGTTACCTGATGGTGACCTGCTGCCCATGGATGATGTGCTATTGACCATGGATGGGTGGTCTCCTCTAGGGACATGGATGTCATCACAACAGTGACATTCTGAAACCTGGAAGGCTGCCCTAGTGGTGAAGGGGCAGCAGCCAGAGGGTTCACCATGGTTTTAGGGAAAGGTAATTGGGGAGGCTTTGTGAGGGAAGGCTGAACGCATCCTGGCTGCCCAGAACACGTTCATGCCTTTAAGACACAGGGCACTCAACATGCATTGTAGGTGTTTTTTGCCAGTTGTGGGGCACAAGAGGCTGCCTGTTCAGATATTTGTCACCTGAGCTTTCAAGTAAAGGCAATGGAGCTGGTGAAGGTCCTGGAGCACAAAAGTCTTACAAGGAGTGGCTGAGGGAGTTGGAGTTGTTCAGCCTGGAGAAAAGGAGGGTCAGGGGGACCTTATCACTCTCTGTAACTGCTTGAAAGGAGGGCATAGCCAGGTGGGCGTCAGTCTCTTCTCCCAGGTAATAAGTGACAGGACCAGAAAAAGTGGTCTCAAGTTATGCCAGAGGAGGTTTAGATCGGATATTAGGAGAAATTTCTTGACTGAAAGAGGAATTAGAACAGGCTGCCCAGGGAAATGCTGGAAGCATCATCCCCTAGAAGTGTTCAAAGAACGCTGTGGATGGGGCACTTTGTGACATGGTTTAGTGGTGAGCACGTTTGGTACTGCTGGTTGACGGCTGGACTTGATCCCCTTAGAGGTCTTTTCCAGCCTCAACGATTCCATAGAAGACCCACAGCCGGATCTTGGGCGGCGCTGGAGGCCTCCCAGGCAGCTGGACGGCAGCTCGGAAAGCGCCAAGCGCCGCTGCGAGGAGGGGGCGGGCACCGAACCCCCCTCACGCACCCCAGGCGGGCGCTCTGGCCCCGGAGCGGCCCCTCCCCCCGGGCCCGCGCGCTGCCCCGCGCGCCGCCGCCGCCGTGTTGCCAGGCAGTTTGGCGCCCGCGCGCGCCCCGGGGGCGGGGCCTCGCACACCGACCAATGGCGGGCCGCGGCGGGCGAAGCCGCGGGACCGGGCCCCACGGCGCGCGCCCGCCCCTCCCACCGCGGCCTCCGAGCGCCACGGGTCCGGATTGGCCTGAATGCGTTTATTTTTAAAAGGAGCTGGCTTTTTCTATTGGCCGAGAAGGACGCCAGTCAGGATGACGTCGCCTTGTTGCTAGGTCGGGAAGGAGGGAATGGAGACGTGCCCGCCCCATGCGTTGACTGGCCAACAGGGAGCCCAGAGCCCGCCCCCGTCCGCCTTCGAGCCTGTTGCAACCGCTTAGCGGGGTGACTGACGTTCAACCAGCGACCAATGAGAGGCCGCGCTGCGCACGGCGTCCAATAGAAAGGCGCGGTGCGGGGAGGAGGGCGGTGCTGGGAGCTGTGATTGGCAGGCGGGGCGGAGGCAGAGGAGGGCTCGCCGGAGCCGCCATGTCCGCCATCTTGGAGCGTCGGTGATGGTGGCGAGCGGAGGGTTTCCCGCCTGAGCGGAGGCACCCGGGGCCTGTGGCGGGGGCCGCGCTGCCGAGGTACGGCCGGGATGGCGGCGACACCTTCCCACCGCCGCTTCCAGCGGGCCGGCGCTCCGGCGGCGGCTCCTCCGGGGCGGCGCGGGCCTGGCGCCCCCTCAGCGCCGTGCGGGGGCTCCGGGCTCTGCTCGGGCGGCGCCGGGCCGGGGCCTGCGGGGGCCGCGGGGCCCGTCGTGCACGGCCTCTCGCACGCGCCCCGCGGGCCCGGAGCGGCCGGGGCGCGGCTGCGGGTGCTGGGCCTGGGCGCGGCGGGAGGCTCGGGCCGAGCCGGGAGAGCTCTGCCCGCCCCAGCACCTCTGCGCGGGGGCCTCCGCCGAGGCGGGGTTTGGTGGGACCTTGGAGTTCTAATTTTTTTTTAACAAGGCAGTTTGTTTGAATTAGAATTTTTTTAAAAGCGTAGCAGTGTTTGGGTGAGCTTTAACTGCTGTTTAATGCGTTTGGCAAAATCTCACTGAGGACCTGCCAGTTTTTCTGGTTTTGTTTTGCTCTGGTTGCTAAGAACTTTCCAAAGTGTAAGAGGGAATTAGTGTTATAGTCTATCTAGCGTCATATGACTCTGTCTTATATGACATAAATGCAATTGAGGCTAAAGATCATTTCTGTCGGCATAAACGTTATTTAAGTCAGAACAGTGGGATACTTTGAATGGGTGTGTTGCTATTTTAGAAAAGTATTCTGAGTGGAAGAGTGGAGAAAAGTTATGAGTAGGTGGATAGCTTTAGGGAAAGGGTTCCTTGTGAGATGTTGACAACTTAGAAATGAAAGATTGTGTGACTGCTAGTGGTATTACTTAGGTTTAAAATCTCCTTCAGTGGATTGAGTCTAAATGTACTCTAACAGTGCTGTGTGTCTTTGGGTTGCACAAATACCTGCGTGATTTTTTTTTTTTTTTGATTGCTGAAAGATGGGAAGTGTCCCTGTTTCAGTGTTTCAGATAGATTGCTGCAGTTATTTGAACTGCAATGTCTGTTTTCAGTAGAACGGACATTCTGGTAAGAGCCTGAATACTTAGCTTTGTGTTATTTATGTTTTCAGTAGTAAGGCGTGGACTAACTGTGGCTTGCAAGAGTATTATACAAATATAAAGTGACACTACAGAATTACCTTTCAGTGTGTGAATCGTTAATGAGACGTCATTAATGAGACGCAAATGTGGTATCCAGTCTGCATATTTTTCTTGACAGTTTGTATTTTTAGGTACTTGTTGAAGTTCACTTAAGTGATTTGTTTCCTCCATCTGTGATATGGTTTGAACATAGGTGACACTTATTTGCATTCTGTGTGAAAAGCAGAATGCATGTGCTATATTGAATCCTGCCCCTTCTGAGTTACTAAAGGAATTTGTTTACTATTACTACTGGGAGACTGTTTTGGCGAGAAGAACTGCTGATGAGGTCTGTTTACAGTGAACTTAAGGAAAACATTGAGTTAAGTGAAAGTTGAAGTTTAGAAATTCCGGAAAAGCAACCTGTTTAACAGGAATGCCTTTAGTAGCGTAGTGCATTTCAGCTTCTTTACAATCAAGGTAGGTTTGTATGTAAACTACTAAAAATGCACCAGCTTTTGATTCTTTTGAATATAAATCAACTAGTTGTTGTTCCCTCATGGAATTAAAGATACTAAGTAGTTTGTTTGTCTCTGCACAATACTGCCTGCAAACTGCTCACTTCTGTTGACTTGCTAAAGTGACTAAAAGTGACTTTTTCCTTCAGAATGCTTCTGTCTTACACTTAACTGAGGTGATGCTACAGCCTGTATACCACTCAGAGAATCACATCATGTTCTAAGAGTGAAATTCAAGTGAATTAATAGAATGGAATCTGAATTTAGCTGTGATAGAGCAGAGAATCACGTATGTAGTTTTAGTACAAACAGATGTTTAGAGAGTGAACTCTACTGTTATGGCTCAACAGCTTTGCTTCTCTACTCAGCCTAAGCTTGATATGCCTGTACTGTGAAATGTTAGAGACCTGGCTCAAAACCAACCAGTATGGGATTGAAACAGTCAGAAGGGAGAAATGCTTTAAAGAACTGTCTGGTCCACTCTCTGTCCATTAATGTCTGATTTTGTAAAAGAGTTTAAAAAGCTTTGAAGTATTTACTTAACTCTGCAGTTAGTTTAGATTGCTCTGTGTGACTATGTTGAAATAAGACATGGTTTTAGCTTCAGTGTTTCAGCGAACCTGCACAACGTCTTTGTAGGTAGGAGGCTTGTACACTCATTTCTCTCCTATAACTGTGTTATTTTATGGCCTTTGGAAGTTATGGTGGAAATTATGGAAACTATGAGCATAGTGGTTTGTTGTGGTAGTAAGGTAGGATGTCTTAAGCATATTGTCTGCCATCTAGATTTGTTTTCCATAGTAGCACCTTTGTCTGTGATCCTTAAGGCTGCTGTGTGCTCTTCTGTCTCATATGCCAGATTTAGGAATTGGGTGTTATCTCAAGTTAATATCTCACATCCAGGTTCTAGAAGACCAGATGTCTGATGGGGTAATCCTAAAAGCAAGATGTGGAACCGTTGTTTTTGGCAAAACTTTTCACAATAATAAAAAAAGTAGGGGTAGATGAGAAGTAATATCTTGCTTGTGTTATCTTATTTTGTTACATTGGAGGAAGAGAGCAAAAAAACTTCAGAAACTAGTGATCACATTTGATCCTGATATTTTCAGGGTGGGAAGCAAGCTTGAAAGATCAAGCAGAAAATACATAGAGAGCATGAACATCATGTTGAAAGTGCTGCATAGCATGCATAATTGTTTTTGTAGTGTGTCACTGTGCCAGCATCTGTTTTAGAAACTATATGCTACTAAGCAACTAAATTAAATGTTTTTCTACTCTTGGATATTATATGTAGCTCTAGAGCTAGTTTGGGACATTTCTCAGGAAATGGGGTAGACTGAATTGAGAGGATTGGGAAGACATTTAGTATAAGCTGTTACAACCTTGTCTGTTTATGGAATAGTTCTTCACACAATATTGACAAAAAAATTTGTTAGTGTGAAATACAGGACTCTTCATGACCTTTGTTTATTTAGTAACTTCCATAAAGTGCCAAGAAGCATGTTTGAAGTGGTATATGTGATTTGGAGTGGGTGAAAAAGTTCTCAATTAACCCTTTGACTTTTCTTTCTTTATCCTGTTAGTCTATATAGTCATCCCCTAATCCTGTTATGTGAATATATCTTTTCCTCTTAAACTGGTGATGCTCGAAGACAAATCTATGTGGTGTGTTGTGTGCCAGCAGTGGAAAAGAATGCCAAAAGGACCTCAGTGTACAACTGTATGGACTGGTGAAACTGTAATAATTGGAGGGGTGGTATGTGTTGGTAGGTGTGTTGGCAGTATGGCTGAGTGCCTGTGAAATGCATTGTGAGGCTTTGGTTGAAGATGTGAATGAAAGAAGGTAGAATTGAGTAAAAAAAAAATGTATGCACAAGTAGAAATTGCCCCTTAGTAAGATTTTAGGTTTGATTAGTGTCCTTGTAACATTCTTAAAACTTTATCCTATTTCTTTTTGAATGAATACAGTCTTAAGTTTTGCATCTGCAAGGAGGTGGAGTACACGGCCTGCTGGTCTCTGTCCTCTGTCCACTGGCTCTTCTAGAAAATGAGCATTGGAAGACCATAGACCACCTCTTGTCAACTGTGCCAAAAGATGCTTTTGTAGATGAAGAAAACTCTAAAGCCTTTTTATGATGACCAGACAGTTTCTGGATGAGGCTTGAGAAATGACCATGTCGTTTCCACTTTGGTAATGAGTCATAGTTCGGATGGAGGATGGAAACTTCAAATTTTTTTTAGTAAAAAGTACTTTCTGAGTTTATTATATATGTTCTAGAGTATAGCTATTCCAGTACTGAAAACATTCAGGTTGTTAGTTACTAAAGTGAATTCTAGGTCCTCTTATGCAGTGAGCAAGTTCCCTTCTTGAGTGACCATTGGTAGGATTTCCAACTAGTTTCATTGCCCAAACTAGTAGTAGAAAGAAAGGTGCATTCTGTAAATGCACATTATGCTACTTTAGAAGAGCCAAGCATAAGACCCTGGTCCTCACTTGAGTGTTGCACATTTAAAAGCTTCAAGCAGTGCAGTGTAGTACAGCAGTGGCTGTAGGCAATGCCAGTACAGGTGTGATTGCATTTTTTCATTGTACTGTAACTGGTTTGAGTGTTTGCATTAGAGCAGAAAACAAGGGAGTAATAGACATTTCTAAAGGCTTGTCTTGCTGCAGAATGGTATTACTTCAGTGCTGCTTGCATTGTGAAAGGAGCATCAGCCACAGCCTCCACAGGGAGGATTTTTGCATCTTTGTAGCAGAGCAGTTATACACTCTATAAGAGTAGTCTCTCTTGTAAAAATGGTAAAAATACAATGCTATTTGCTCTTCTGTGTAAGTATAGTGGAAACCAGGTGGTGGCATGGGGGAAAGGTGTTTTTATTTGGGTGTGGGTTTTGTTTGTTTTTTGTTTGTTTTTTTATTACTAATAGTTACATTGGTCAGCACGCAGTCCAGATGGAAGTGCACTTAGAAGCTGCAACAGCGTAGGGGTTTCATTCCCATTATCCATGTTTGTCTTTCTTTGTTCTTTCTGGTGGTTACGAAGAAGAAGTTTGTCACTGCTTATGGCATCTCTGAGGGGTAATGGCATTTAGGTGTTTTTTCCTGTCTGTGAGGGACAGCTGTAGAAGTTACACTGAGCTGCCTGAGAAGGAGTCAGTTCTTCCTCTTGGCTGTGACAAGCAAACATTCATCAAAGGATCCTTCTCTGTGTGTACTTGATGCTGACGATGGGCTCTTTGTTACAGCTTCAAGCCAAATCTAAATAGCAAAAAGTTGTTCACTGAACACTGTTTAGATGAAATTTGTTTGATAAAAGAGGTGGTAAAGATAACATTAATGAGAGGTCTGCATTTCTTAGTGGCCAACATAGAAAATTATTTCTTATACTTCTTAGCTATACTTTAAGGGCTAAGGCTTACTTCTAGAGTCACTTATA